TTTTGTCTCACTTCTGCCTTCTAAATCTCATCCAAATACATCTGACTGGCTGCAAGGTATTCTGAGAAATATAATCCTTAGCTTTCCAGCCTCTGCAGTATAGGAAAGCACACTAGAAGGAGGTGAGAATATGTGCTGAATGCTAATTAACCATATCTGCCACTCGGCATGTCTGAAATCTACCCAATGTCTTATCATCTGCAACTGGGCCTCTTCCTCCTTCCCCACCCTCTTGCTCAGTGCCCTGGTGGCTAGTTTAGTCTTCGGTCTTGTTCCCATTAGTCTAATTCTTCAGACTACAGTTTGCCCTTTTCTGTTACCTGGGTGAGGCAAATATCTTACCTATGATTCCACAGTTCTTTAAAAAAAACAAACTGATGTGTGGGACTTCATCAAAATTAAAAACGAATGCTCTTTGAAAGGCAATGTTAAGAGAACTAAAAACAAGACCAACTAGAAGAAAATATTGTAAATCATATCTGACAAAGGACTTGTATCTAGACATGTAATAACTTTCAAAATCAATAATAAGAAAACAAGCAACCCAAAAACAAATGGGTAAAATAATTGAACAGAGTGTTCACCAATGAAGATAAAAGTATGATAATAAACACATGAAAAGATATTCAATGTCATTAGTCATTAGGGAATTGCAAATTAAGACCACAGTGAGATACCACTATACACTTACAAAAAAAAAAGTCTGGTCTGGGTGCTGGTGAGGATGTGGAGAAATGACCTCTCATATACTGTGGGTAGGAGTATAAACCTATAATCACTTTGGAAAAGAGTTTGGCAGTTTCTTTGAAAGGTAAACATATACCTACCATATGACTCAGTCATTCTACTCCTAGATATTTACTCCAAAGAAAAGGAAACATATGGGCACACAAAGACCTATACACTAATCCAGTCATGTGCCTAGTTTTCTATGAAATCTCCTTGTCATTTAGTTCTATTTTTTACTCCAATTGTTAGTATCCTAATGTGCTCAAGTGGTGAACCCTTAACCTTTGTCACATTATCAGCTAGAATCAGGAGAGGAAACTGAGTAAGAGTATCTATATATGTAAAAGCCTAAGCGACCGGCCAACCGGCCGACCGGCCGACCAGCCTTCCAGCAGACCAGCCGGTAGCTATGATGTGCAATGACCACCAGGAGGCAGACACTCAATGCACAGGCATGGAAACATGGAACAGACTGATGAATCTCAGAGGAAAGAGGGGAGGGGGAGGGCAGGAAGAGATTAACCAAAGATCTTATAAGCATACTAGTAGCCCGGTGCACGAAATTCGTGCACTGGGGTAGGGGGGGAGAAGGGGCCCCTCAGTCTGGCCTTCACCCTCTCCAATCTGAGATCCCTCGGGGAATGTCCAACTACCTGTTTGTGCCCACACTTTTAACAGATAACAGCTCCATTGTTGTTCCTTCCTTATACTTAAAACCATTGGAATTAGTAGGTATTCAAAGTGTGTATACATTTTGGGGGGACACCCTGTATATCTCTAGTCAGTGGTGAAAGAAACCAACAGCAGATTTGGAACCCCCAGACAGGGAACCTTGCTCATTCCCCACATGTCTCCCCACTTCACTTTCCACCTTCGTGGGCAGCAGGAGAATCAATGTTTTCTCTCATTAATTCGGAAAAGCACGTCCTGTCACCCATTGCCCGGCAGGAGTGGGCTAGGCCCCAAGCAAGCAAGGCTCAGTCAGGGCAGCCTTCACTCATGGGTGCTGGCACCCAAAGTGCACATTCCTCCTCTACAGTCTCCCCGACTATCCCACTGTTTCACTGAGAGGACGGAATTCCTCTCTGCCTCTGGGCTCTTGATCTTGAATGCTGACCGAAGGCACCTCAGAGAGGGCCGCCCGCGCCCACCAGGTGTGTCTGTCTGCACCTGCTCCTGCCTCAGCACCTGCATTAACTCCCCAGAGGTGATCTCGTAGCTGCACTGGCCTCCGTGGGAACAGGGCATCACCACTCTGCCCTCTCACTGTCATCTCACAGGCGCCCACTCTCAGCACCCAGAACACTCAGACACTCTCCAAAGGACGTGAGCGCATCAGAGGGGATGTGTGCACATCCTGTGGGGGTGTTAGGCATGCTGGGTTGATGGAAGTGCGGTGGAGAGGCGGGGGGAACTTGTGGACACCTTGGTTTGCAACTGTTGCAGGCGTGGGAGGGTGACAGTGTGCTGGGGGATGTTCGCACGCCAGGGGGGTATGTGCACACCGGAGGCCTCTGGCTTTGTAGATCCGCAAACCCCCGTGGTGCGGCCAGGAGGACATCAGTCTGGCCCGCCACGGTGGCTGTCCCTGCAATCCTGCACCTTCTGGGCCAGGAGGCGGATCTTGCGCAGTCACTCCTGGGCGCTGATGGCTGCCTCCCCGCCGTGAAGGGTCACGGATCCGAGTCCCGGGACCGTGCACAGCCTCAAGCGCTGCCCCCCGCCCGGTAGGGTCACAGATCCGTGTCTTGGTCCCGTGGACAGCCTCAAGCACTGACCCCCACCCGGCAGGGTCACAGATCTGAGTCCCGGACTGCGGACAGCCTCCCGCGGTGCCCCCCGCCCAGCAGGGTCACAGATCCGGGTCCCAGGACTGCAGCGGACAGCCTCAAGCACTGCCCTCCGCCTGGTAGGGTCACAGATCTGGGTCCCGGTCTGTGGACAGCCTCCCGCGGTGCCCCCTGCCCAGCAGGGTCACAGATCCAGGTCCTGGGACTGCAGACAGCCTCAAGCACTGCCCTCCGCCTGGTAGGGTCACGGATCTGGGTCCTGAGACCGCAGACAGCCTCAAGCACTGCCGCCCCGCTCGCATGACATGGATCCAGGTCCCAGACTGCGGACAGCCTCAAGTACTGCCCCCCGCCCGGCAGGGTCACAGATCCAGGTCCCAGACCGCAGACAGCCTTGCCTGCTGCCGCCTGCCTTCAGTATGCAAATTAGCCGCCATCTTGTTGCTTCAGGGTGGGGGTCCCCACTGGGGTGCCTGGCCAGTCTGGGTGAGGGGCTGAGGGCTGTTTTCAGGCTGGCGGGCGACTGAAGCTCCAAACCTCTCCTTTTTTTCTTTTCTTTTTTTATTCTGGCATTTATTTACCTTCTATGCCTGTCACTGGAGCTGAGAGCCGGCTTTCTCTCTGAGGCTCGGCTGCTGAAAGCAGGTTTCTGGCCTTTGTTTACCTTCTGTATTCAAAACAATGTTGCGGTCTTGCTGGCTGAAGCCTGGCTGACTGAAAGGAGGTTTCTGGGGTTTTGTTTAGCTTCTATATTTATTACAGTGTTTCAAATTGCAAGCTCAGAGGCCAGCAAGGCAGGCGGGGAAGCTTGGCTTCCTCCGTCACTGAAGCAAGCAAGCCTCCCTGTTCGCTTCTAGCTGCCTGGCTGCCGGTTGCCATCTTGGCTGGCAGTTAATTTGCATATCGCCCTGATTAGCCAATGGGAAGGGTAGCGGTGTGACACCAATTTGCATGTTTCTCTTTTATTAGATAGGACTAGAGGCCCAGTGCACAGATTTGTGCACCAGATGGGTCCCTCGGCCTGGCCTGCAAAGATCGGGCTGAAACCAGCTCTCCGACATACCCTGAGGGGTCCTGGATTGTGAGAGGGCACAGGCCAGGTCAAGGGACCCCACCGGTGCATGAATCCATGCACCAGGCCTCTAGTTAGTTATATATTTCTGCTTCACATATCACCCCCAAACTTTGAAGCTTGAAATAGCAACAAAACATTATCTTATAGTTTCTAAGAGTTAGGAGTCTGGGAGAGGCTTAGCTGGGTGCTTCTGCTCGGGGTCTCTTATGAGGTTGCAATAAAGCTATTGGCTGGGGCTCCAGTCATCTGAAGGCTTGACTGCTTAGAAGATACCTCACTCACATGGCAGTTGGCAGGATGCCCCTGTTCCTTGCTAGTTGTTGGCAAAAGGCCTCAGTTCCTCACCACGAGGGTCTTTCCATGGGGAAGCCATGTTTATCCCCATTTTTGGGGGACTACCACTGGCCTTTATAAAGTTAAGTTTAGATAAGGGCTCCAAGTCATTCCCAAGTTGCGCCCTCCAACCCCCACCCCTTCTTTTTTCTATGTTTGTCCTAGGCCAGGGGTGGGCAACCTTTTTGTGAGTGCGTGTCAAAACCAGCAAAATCTCTGACTCAAAATTCTTCTGTGTGCCAACCCTAATATTTTGAGAACATGTTATGCCTACTTGATATCTCTTAAGGTGTATGTATGTGAAGAACCTTAAAGAAATAATAAAATTCATTCGAGCGACAAAAACACAGTATATGATGATGAAAAATACATTTATTTTTTAATGTATACATGTACACTGATAGTCCAACAGAAAACTTTATGACTCCATTTGATATTATCAGTGGGACTTTTGCTGCTGCATCACTGATGACAGAGATTTTACATCAGGTTTATATTTCGTGACCTTCAGAGATATGCACGAGCTACTACTTTCATCCATCAGGCTACTCCTATTACGAGACTTAACAAAATTCATCACTGAGAACAAAGATTCACAAGCGTATGTGGATGAAAACATGGAGAGTAACTCTGTTGCAAAGTTTTTTAAACAGAAAAAATTTTCTGGAATGGCATTCCAAGTCCTCAATAGTTCGTTTTTGACACTTCTCTCTGGTACCCCTGTCTCTAATCGCTTTTTTTCAATGTTTTCCAAGTCAACTCTAAGGTCAATAAATTTCTGCTTCCAAATTGAGCTACTCTGAAATTGAATCAACTGCATTTCAAAGTCAGCCATGTCTATCCATGAAAACATTTGTAAGTTTAGTTCCTCCAGTTTCATGCTGTCTGGAAACCTCATGAATTTTGCTGTCTCTTCCAGTTCTCTGAATTTCGCAAATCTTGAGAAGAACTGCTCAATAGTTGACTCGATGATGATTAAAAACAGCTTTTGAAGGCTTTGACAGTCTGTTCTGTCATCTTTTGGGAGGTCTTTGATGTGCCTCTTGAGGTTTGAGAAATATCTAAATCTCTCACCATCCACATCCCTCTTAAAGACTTCCAGTTTCTTTTCAAAAGCCTTTATGTAACCAAACATAACATCAAGTGTCTTGCCAGTTCCTTGTAATTTAACATTTAAGTCATTCAAATGTTCACAAAAATCTGCAAAGAACATCAGTTTAGAAACCCACGTGGTGTCAGACAATTCTTGGTAAGAAACATGTTGGTTATTCAAGAAGAGCGTTATCTCGTTTAAGCATTCAACTAATCGTTTCAGAACCAAACCTTGGCTAAGCCGTCGAACATTGTTGTATATTTTCAGTCCTTTATACACAGATTCTACCTCATTCAAAAACTTGAAATTGTCTTTTATTTAAAGCCCGAGCAGAAATGTAATTAACAACTTTGGTAACTGTTTGCATCACTTCCTGCAGTTCCTTCAGGCCAGCTCTTGCACATAAAGCCTCCTCATGTATGATGCAATGAAAACCTATCAGTGTATGACCAACTTCTTTCGCAAACAGATTTACAAAACCTGCCTTCTCACCAGTCATGCAAGGAGCACCATCAGTGGTGACGGACACTACTTTTGAAATGTCAGTTTGTCGAGAAGAGAATTCGTTCATAACTGCTTTACATATTTCAGCCCCGGTAGTATGCTCAGGTAGAGTTAGAAGGGCAACCATCTCTTCACCTATTTCATCACCTTTACAAAGTCGAGAAAAAATGGCCAGCCTAGATGACGATGTAATGTCTGTACTTTCATCAATACAAACAGAAAAAAATTGACATGAAGACAAATCCTTTGTTAATTGTTCAGCAGTATTACTCGCCAACTTAAGTATCCTATCCTTAACTGTTTTCCTGCTCATGGACAAATCTTTAATGCACTGAATAATCTTTTCTTTTTCTGAGAAATCGTCAAAAAGGAAAGGTGCACATTCTAGCCAAGATTCTTTAATATACTCTCCATCACTGAGTGGTTTTCCAAGTTGGGCAATGACTTTTGAAACTTCAAAACTAGCAGCAACTAAGTTGAAACTGGACCTGCCTGAGATGAAGTTCATAAAATTATCAGCCTGTTTTTTTTGTTTTGCTGAGTTCATGAGAAATTCTCTTTGTTGCTCTTCGGTTTTATTGCTTATGTTCTTATGAACACTTTCAAAATGCCTTTTTACAGAAGATGTTCTGCAAACAATAGTTTCAGAACAGAAAACACATAAGGCTTTGTTGTCTTTCTTAATCACACCAAACTTTTCTGTCCAGTATTTTTGAAATTCTCTAACATCCTCTTCAGCTGAACGACATCGTTTCTTAGCTGGTGGTCCTGACATTCTGCACAATCTAGAAGGACAGAAAAATACATGAGATGATGGTATACGTGAAAAAGGTGAAAGAAGAAAAGTAGAATGTCAGTGATTAATTAGCTTGATCAAACTACTGTACTGCTATTACTTTTTAAAATTAAAGTAAATAGAAAGAAAAATAGTTTGCTATCCCTACAAAATGGTAAGATGGGCGCGACGCAGGGAACAGTAAAGATAAAGCATGTAAAAAAAATCACAAAATGTAGAACCTTTATTTATAAATCAAAATACATTGTATGCATATCAGTTATTATTATTTTTATTTATAAGATTTGGTTTATGGATAACAACAAAAATGTGACAAACTAAAAATATTTCCTAAGGAAAATAACAGAATAAAGAAGAAAACATAGACAAATACAGCATAATGTAATAGAAGTACGGTAATTATGTAACTTACTTTTCAGTGAAGGCGGATACGGTGTGATGTAGTGCGCATCGAGAGAAACATAGAAATTTATTCCCCTTTCGTTAGTACCGGTGGGCAAAGCGAGAGAGAAGGTTTCATTTTTATAGTGAAAGTCATAAAAACCCTCTGTTTCATGAGACAGTATAGCTTAACAAGAGTATGGGCTTCAAAATGAGGTACCCAGAGCTCAAATTCAAGGTCAAACTGAGTTTCCTCATCTTTTTTTTTTACAAAACTGTTTTTTAAATATATTTTTATTATTTATTTCAGAAAGAAAGGGAGAGGGGGAGAGAGAGATAGAAACATCAATGATGAGAGAGAATCATTGATCAGCTGCCTCCTGCACACCCCACACTGGCGATGGAGCCTGAAATCCAGGCATGTGCCCTGATTGGGAATCCAAGCATGACCTCCTGATTCAACCACTGAGCCATACCAGCCTAGCGGTTTCCTCATCTTAAATGTAGTAATTGTTCCTGCCTCCCAAGGTAATTGCAAAAATTAAATTAATTAATATATAAAGCATCTTAAACATTGTCTAGCATATAAGAAGCAGTACACGATACATGTTAACTAGAATTATTATAAAAAGCAAAGTAAAAAGAAAATTATAATAGCCTATAAAATCACAAGGGCTTTACTTTTGCTCACTAATTAGAAACAAAGGATAACAAATTACAAATATGTTTGTATTGATTTTAGAGAGAGAGGGAGAGGGAGGCAGAAACACAGATGTGAGAGGGCAACATTGATCGGCTGCCTCCTGCACACCCCCTACCGGGGATGGAGTCCGCAACCCGGGCATGTGACCTGACCATGAACTCCGACCTCGATGCATGGGATGACGCTCAACCAACTGAGCGACACCGGCCAAGGCGAGAGTGCTTTTGTTTTCTAAATCTCTTTCTCTCTTTAACATTCCATAACAAGCCTAAAACCCTAGAACCCCGGAGCTATCGCGCTATCCCATTACGCGTCGCGGGGTCTCGATTATTTGCTAGGTCGGTGTCTTGGGTGGGGCCTGCCTTTCTCCACTTTCTCCACTAGAGGTGGCTTTGCACAGCGATCCTTCCTCGCTATAGGGGAAGAAGGCGGAGACCTTTTCTACGACGTCGGTTGGTGGCCAGGAACTTGATTGACAAGGGCATTAGCAAATGGCTCTGAAGTAGGCGGCCGAAGTTCTTGCATGTACGGCCGAAAAAGTGGCAGAAGTGCAGGCGCCGGCCAATGAGGACTGGTCCTAAAGGAGCTTGGGGCGGGACTTCGTTAGAGGGGCGGACTCAGGGTAAAGAGTCTGAAGCGGACCCTGGGAGAGTCAGAAGCGTTTCCGGTGTTAACAGAGCTTCGTGGGCTCCGGAGAGGCGGCTGAGAAGGTACGTTTGAAAGCAGGATTGCGCAAGCCGGGAGTGAAGAAGGGGTTAGCAGTTATTGTCTTAACGACAAAGGGAGTGAGTGGTCTCCATTTTCGGGTAGACTGCACCCCGTGGGAAAAGGCCCCTGCTCTGCGACTGGACTCCGGAAGGCTGGGCGGGGAGGGGGAAGCGAGGAACTGGAACCGCGCTTGCGCTACGATACGGAGCGGGGGAGGGGCGGGGGCAAGTCAGACGGGTTTTGGGGGCGTCTAGCGAAAGCCCCTTTTTAGCTTCTAGTTCTTCCTTCCAGTCTCCGTCCCTCCCTTTCCTCCGCTTAGAGTAGACGCAGGGGCCCCTTGGCCCAGGCCCGTCTGGAATTTAGGGCACGTCCCCCACCCCTTCCTTCCGAGGGGAATGAAAGCGAAACCACACGGGTTTGTGATCGCACCCCGCCCCCCCACAACAACAACGCCCCTGCCCGACGGAATCGCTGCTCTGCTACGGCCATAGCGACCCCTGACCGGGCGCCCTGGGTGAGCGGCAGGGGCCTGGGCGGCCGGCTGCCCTGTCACGGCGGGGCGGGTGATGTCACACTGCCGTGACACGCGCGGCTCCTTAGTTACGTGCGAGCCAACAGCAGGAGCGGGAGGTGTGGGGAGAGCGGGCTTGGCTCGGCTCTCCTGCCCCGCCGGGCAGCCGGCTCTGGTCTGATTGGTTACCTTCGGACAGGTGAGGTGGTTTGGCTTTGTGGAGTCCAGCGCCTTGTGGGCGTCTTTCTCAAAGTCCGATTGGGAAAGGCGGCGTTGGGCGTTGTTGTTTTCTGGGACCTGCTGGCCGGAGCTGTGGTAATAAGTAGGCCGTGGCATTTTTGTGTATTAAGTGTGGAATAATACTACCCTGTGCCAGCCCGGGTTGCATTGCCCACCCCAAAGAAGGACAAAAACCTCTTTGAACTTGAGACTCGGTTCTAGCAATAGTTAACTTGTGAATGTGTAACCTAGTAGAAGAGCTGACTGTGTCTGAAACACAAAGACTTTAAGGTTAAAGGTTAACGGAGAATGGGCTTTTCTAGTTACTTATTGATATTTACTTCTATTTTATCCTTTGAATAGTTCAGGTCAGAGTTTTCTAGTTTCTTATGGCTTCTGTGAACACACCTATTTCTGTAATTATTAGATTTACTCTTCGAAGTTTTCTTATTCCTCTTTGTTGAATTTTGTCCTGGCTTAAGTACTATGTTGACATTTAGGTTCTCTGCCATTTTCCTTCAGTGGGGACAGAATGAATTCTTGAGAAATGCAATCTGTAATTTAGATTCAGAGTTTCCTTCTTAAATTATTCATCTTGTTGTGGAAACATAGCTTAGTACCCACTTTCTTCCCTTCTCTACTGTTGATCTGACTGAAGTCTTACTCTCCTAAATAATAGGAGAGAGAAAATTAACCTATTTAACCAGCATTTATATATGTATTTGTTGCTATGGATATAGTTCATGCTTATTGTAGAAAGGCGAAAAAATACAGAAAAATGTCATAGGAATCAGCACATGTTAATTTTTGAAAAAAAAAGATTTCTCTTGATGTATGCCTGGAACTGCCTTAATGAACACTTGCTTTTCTACTGTAGGGTGTCATAGTGTAAAGAGTACCAGCCTTGAGAGGTCTGATGTTGGTCAAGTCAATACTACTGTCTGTTTAGTACTTTACAGTTATTTCACACAGATTTGCTTATTGGCTTTCAATAAGCTTGGTAGAGTACGTATTAATTATCCTTATCTTACAGATGAGAAAGCCTAGAGGACCATAGGTGAAATGATTTTCCCAAAGTTACTTGGTAGAAAATGGCAGGGCTTGTGACTCCAAATCCAATGCTTGTGCCTCTTTGAAACTTTTGTTTTAATCTTTAAAGTGGGACTAATTATTCTTTCCCTTCCCTCATGCATTGGTGTGAAGATCAAAGGGGATAATGTATATAAAAGCACTTCGAAAGTGGTGTAATTTTATATAAATGTATTCAGTGGTATTATTATAGACGGCACTACTGCTGGCCTGAAGAGTTTCACTTTATTTCATAAACTATCCCAAGAGTATTAATCTCCTCTGAGAAAACACTGAATATCCTCTTGACGCTCAATCTTCTAAATTATCCTTTGCTACTTTAATTTGGCTGTAGAAGCCTAGTAGAAGTGTCTTCCACTCAAATGTTTTGTTACCCCAGAATTTCTAATCAAATTTCACGGAGTAGTTGTAATGCACATTTTTGTTTCCCAAAGACAATGTTTAAACTAAGGAGAGAAAGACAGTAGAGGTTGGCTTTTAGGACAACTTGAGTGACCATTCAAGGTAGGTCTCCCTCTGTGCCAGCTGGGGAATGTCGATTTGAGATTATAACATTCTTGTTCAGATAATGGGTCTAGGTTTGCTCTGGAGACTCCTGGTTGTGCTTAAGTGCGGGGGCTAGCTAGCAAGCTGATTCATATGCAAGCTCAGCTCTGAAGGTGCTTAAAACCAAATGTATGAGAGAAGTTTTGGTACAATTCATGGAATCCAAAACACTTGAAAAAAGAGCTTCAAGGTGAGGATGGAGTGGATGTGCTGTTTGTCCTAATTTATGCCTGCTTTCATTTGGACTAAATAGGGTGCTAACGGAAGGGATTGCTGGTTTATATAGGGAGGTGATTATATATGTACGACGGGGGTTGGGAAACATCTGGCCTGAGGGCTGTATAAGGCCCGCAAAATCATTTGGTCTGGCCCTGCCAAGGCATTAGGGGCGAGTTAATTAAATGTTTGACCAATTATAAGCAGGATAACTTTTAAGTTGATAATTTTGTATGGCCCTCGATGTTATAAGTTTGCAAATGACCCTTGGCAGAAAAATTTCCCACCCCTGATTAGGACATTGGGGCCTTATGATTTAGTGTCTGTCAAACAGTTGTGGTTATAGAGGTGATTCAGTAGTGTCACAATTTGCTACAAGAAATAATTTCCTGAAGGCAGTGGACATTCCATCTCTAGGTACTGGTTTGGTTTTGAGCCAGTCCCCTAGAGAGACAGGATTCAGTGCTGGCTAATCCAGAGATTTGGGCCCAAATTAAGGGGCAGGGGCTGGGACATTTAGGTCACAATTATCAAGCTAATGACCATTTACTTCATCAAAATCCCTACCACATCAGATTATCACTTAGTGGTTATTAGGGTCTCAAAATGCTTGTGACTCAGTAGGACAGGAGGTACAGTGTAAATGTAACAGAAGAGGGGCATGGCATTTATTATTTTTTTTAATCCTCACTTGAGGATATTTTTTTCCATTGCTTTTCAGAGAGAGTAGAAGGGAGGGAGGGGGAGAAAGAGAAAGAGAAAAACATCAATGTGAGACACACATCAACTGGTTGTCTCCCACATGAGCCCCGACCAGGAATGGGGAGCAAATTTGCAATCCAGGTATGTGCCCTTGACCAGGATTTGAACCCGAGATCCTTTGGTGGGAGGGCCAATGCTCTAACGACTGAGCACACCGGCCAGGGCGAGGGGCATGGCCTTTAAAGAAACGTAATTTTAATCAGTAATAAGATTTGTCAAGTTTCTTTAAATTTCAGTTTATAATTTTCTTAAATACCCACCCCCCAATTAAATTTTTCATTTGGGTAAATATTAAGCCTTCAGGATATAGTTAACTGTGAGTTAACGGTTGAATAATATTTTTTAAAAGTAATTTGCAGGGCATATATAAATTAGGCTTGTGATAAATGTCTTCTAAAACTAGACTTTTACAAGGGATAAGCATACACTGAGGACTTGAGAGTAATGATTATTTACACTAGTAACAATAATGGTTAATATACTGAGCCAATCTTATGTATGAAACACTATTCTAAGCACTTTGTATTATCTC